CCCCCAAAAAAAAAAAAAAAAAAAAAACTACCCCACACACTCTCCTTTGGCTTTTCTGTTGATCGGCACTTCTATTTCATCTGTCTAACAAAAGGAGTCCAAGCTGGGATCTTTTGTCTTATTATTTATAGATGTGTACTGTAGGACATATTGCTAGTGGCCCCTGTTTTGGGGTACAGCTACTATGCACAGTTTTATTTGTTTGTTGTTCAATTTACTTCCCAAAACTCGGGATGACAACTCTCTCTCTCTCTTACAAGTACAATAGTCATGCTGTTTATCCACTTATTGCAGGGAAAAGCTGGATCAAGTCGATGATTCTGACCGCTTCACTCTTTCCATTTTTGTGCTTTGGAATTGGTTTCATTCTGAACACAATTGCCATATTTTATGGTTCTCTAGCAGCCATTCCTTTTGGCACAATGGTAGTTGTCTTCGTTATCTGGGCATTCATTTCCTTCCCCCTGGCTCTTCTGGGTACAGTCGTTGGAAGAAACTGGAGTGGTGCTCCAAACAATCCATGCCGTGTCAAGACCATTCCTCGCCCTATACCTGTGAAAAAGTGGTACTTGACGCCATCCGTAATCTCCTTGATGGGGGGTTTGCTACCATTTGGCAGCATATTTATTGAGATGTATTTCGTCTTCACATCCTTCTGGAATTACAAGGTAAACTGTAACCCGATTTAAGTCTTGTGTATCACTCATCGGTTACTAAGTTAGTTTGAATAAAAAATGATGGCTGAACTTCCACTGATTCAGGGAGAAACAATTCGAATTCAGTCCTTCAGGGTGCTGACCCAGTGGGTCCACCTCGTGCCCTTTTTCTGGTGATAAGTTAGAGGTGTTATGTAAAATTTCAATTAACTCCTTTGAATAAAACATTTATCTTTTGCTTAACATGCATTTGCTTGCATGGCAGTCTTACTTTTTGTATAATTTTTTAAATTGATCTGGGACTCATGAAAGAACCCCTTCTGTTAGGTAGTGACATATTAAAGTCTTGAATCGATTGCTAATATACCTTGTCATGGTTTTTGCAGGTGTACTATGTTTACGGGTTTATGCTTTTGGTATTCCTGATTCTCATTGTTGTTACTGTCTGTGTGACCATTGTGGGCACATATTTCCTGTTAAATGCTGAGAATTATCATTGGCAATGGACTTCATTTTTCTCAGCCGCCTCTACAGCTGTCTATGTCTACCTATACTCAGTATATTACTACTACGTGAAGACTAAGATGTCAGGGTTCTTTCAGACCAGTTTCTACTTTGGATACACACTGATGTTTTGTCTCGGCTTAGGAATTCTCTGCGGTAAGTCACATTGAGTCTATTGCTCGTTTGGAGTTCCAATGATATCCGGTTCATTTATTCTAATCAGCTATGCCTTTTTGTCATATAAATGTAGGTGCTGTTGGATTTTTGGGCTCACATCTGTTTGTGAGGAGGATCTATAGAAACATCAAATGCGACTAATCTTTTGACAAGGAGTAGGACTGACACTGCTCCTCCATTTGCTTAGTTTCTGGCAGTAAGGTCGAGAAAAACCTCAAGAACCATGTATCTTTGTGGGATTCGATTCGGTTTAATGATGGTAGGTACCTCCTCTGCTTGTATTCTGGGGAGCCCTGAAAATTTTCCCCATTCCTTGGGCTGTAAAAGTAATCTCCTATTTTCGTTTGTACTTAAATTAGAATGAAGAGACTTCAAATGATTCAAGGCTAGAATTGTAAGAGTTTCAGCTGTCACGTAGTTATTGTATCTCCATTACTATACGACTCGGATGCACTCAAAGCACTGCCATTTAATTTTTTGTTGATTCTCGTGCAGTTACGAATGAGATCCAGGTCAGTTTTTGTCCTTGGTGAACAATTTAGCGAAAACCACTTCGATATAAACATTGCATTATTTACAGCAGAGATTAGTTTTTTATTCACACTCAGATCTAATTAGATCCTGTTAATGCTCAAAATTTCAAGGATGTTTCTGCTGTTAAAATGATTTCCAGAGCAACTTGATTCGCTTGGTAAAATGTTTTTCTGAAATGGTATTTCTTTGTTATGGGTAAGATGGTTGAAAAGACTTTTTAACAAGTAATGATGAATTTATGCAAGATGTCATACATTCATCTAGGGTGTGTTTTGGTATAACGGAAAATGTTTTCCAAGAAAATATTTTCTTGGAAAACAAGTAGTAATCTTATCCATTTTTCGGTGTTTGGTACGTAAATTAAGGAAAATAACTTCTCAAGAATATTCATAAATAATTTAGATACAATAAATATGAAGCTATAAACTTTCGAACCAACAACCTTCCGAACCTATAAATTTCATAAACTTCCGAACCGTTAAACGTTTGAAACCGTGAACTTTCAAACCCGTAAACCTTATAATTTCTAAACTCGTAAACTTTCAAACACATAAACCTCCGAACTTATAACTTTGGAACTTGTAAAATTTCGAACCTGTAAACCGAAAGATGAAAAACTAAAACTGAAAATAAAAAAAAAATAAAAAATTACGGGGGGGGGGGGGTTAGGCGGAAAAAGTGAAAAAAAAAAAACTTTGGAAAATTACAAAAAAAAAAAGACTAAATAAATAAATAAATTTTGTGGAGCATACGGGCGTCTTGGGGGGGGTGCAGTGAGGTGGCTGGATGGCAGATACAACGGAAAACAGGCAAAAGGCTTAACTCTCTCATACCAGTGAATGGTTGTGTGTTGTGATTGTCGTGATGTGTGGGGGGGGGGGGGAGGTATCCCCGCTCGTATCTATATATAGAGATACGCGCAACCTAACTCAGCAGGGAATCTTGGTGTGGTCGGCCCTAGTAGTTCGGGAAAAAATTAAAATTTGGAAAAAGTAAAGAATTTTTTTTAATCTAGCAAAAGGAAGGAAATGATGCTTTTCTTAAGGCAATCCATAAGTAAGAAATAGAATGAGGAAGAGAGAGGACCCCTCGGATTGGCTATTTGGAGAGAGGGGATGGGTAGGCGTGGGGTGGGGTTGGGTGGGTGGGTGGGTGTGGGGAGGGTTGGTGAGGGTGGGGAACGTTGAGAAGAAGTTTGGAAAACGTTCTGGATCCTCCCTGGGGAGGGAGGGGGTAGCAGGGTGGGTGATGACGGAGAAAAGTTGAAATTTGAAAAAAGTAAAAAAGTAAGCCTTTTGGAGAGAGGGGGTGGGTTGGGTAGGCGTGGGGTAGGGTTGGGTGAGTGGGTGTGGGGTGGTGGGGAAGGTTGAGAAGAAGTTTGGAAAATATTTTCCCTTCTCTTGATAAGGAAAATATTTTTCTCTAATTGAAGGAAAATGAGTTCATAAGGATAATATTTTTCAAAATATTTAAGCCAACCAAATATGGGAAAATTAAAAATATTTTCCGAAAAATATTTTCCTTCGTGACATTAACACCCCTAGGCGAACCGTTTGAGTCTTAACATATCGAAGTTTTACGTCGTTTTCGTCTCTAAATGTATTCGAGAAAGGAAAGAAGCGAAGATAAATTTGGCTTACAGGTTAAAAGAAGTTTTGGTGACTAAAATATAGAGTACTATTCCTACTTTCAAAACCCAGTGACTTGAAATGTTTTTCGCTTCAAATGTTTTTATGGTTAAATTTGAGAAAGAGCAATACCGCTGGGAATAATACACGCCATTATTGCAAGTACGAGAACTTGTTATTTGTTTGTTTTATTTGATTTTCTAGTGTAAGGTCATCCCGAGTGAGAACCTCTCGACCCTTCATAGGCTCCTGGTCATGGACCTTGAGATCACGAAGAGGAGGAGGAAGAGGGCGATATATAGCCAACATAGGATAAAATGGGGAGCCTTGACGGAAGCTAAAGCGCAGGAGTTGGGGGTCAAGCTGGTGACTTTGAGGGCTTGGAGGAGTAGTGGGGATGCAAGCGCTATGTAGACCACGAGTGCGCAGTGCATTAGGGAAGTTGCGAGAGAGGTATTAGGGGTTTCAAAGGGTTACTCTGTTGGTCACAAGGGAGACTGGTGGTGGAATGGAGATGTGCAAGGAAAAGTAGAAATCAAGAAAGCAGCGTATCAGAAGCTAGTGGAAAGTGTATACGAGGAGGAGAACAAGGTGAATAGGGATCTTTATAAGTTAGTTAAGAAAGAGGCAAAGCTAGCAGTTACGGCGGCCAAGACTGCACCTTTTAGTCGTTTGTCTGAGGAACTCGAGGGCTCAGGTGGGAATAAAAGGTTGTTCAGGTTAGCCAAGGCGCGAGAAAGAAAGGCGCGTGACTTGGACCAAGTGAAGTGCATCAAGGACGAAGAAGGTAAAGTTTTGTTGGATGAGGAGCTTATACGTCGGAGATGGAAGACCTACTTCCATAGTCTCTTGAACGAGAAGGGGGACAAGAGCATTGTACTAGGTGATTTGGAACTCTCCGAGAGTCGTTGTAACTTTGGGTATTGTAGGTGGATTAGAGTGGATGAAGTAGAGGGGGCTATGCGTAAGATGAACAGGGGCAAAGCGACCGGGCCGGATGAAATCCCGGTGGAGTTTTGGAAGAGTGTGGGCAAGATAGGCTTGGAGTGACTCACTAGGTTATTTAATGTCATTTTTGGAACGAAGAAGATGCCCGAAAAATGGAGGTGGAGCACGGTGTTTCTTGTATACAAAAACGAGGGTGATATCCAAAATTGCAATAACTATCGGGGTATCAAGCTGCTTAGCCATACTATGAAAGTCTGGGAGAGAGTGGTAGAGCTAAGGGTGAGGAGGAGTGTGTATATTTCCGAGAACCAGTTTGGATTTATGCCGGGGTGTTCGACTACAGAAGCCATCCACCTTGTTAGGAGATTGATGGAGCCGTATAGGGAGAGAAGAAGGACTTGCATATGGTGTTCATCGACTTAGAAAAGGCGTACGATAAAGTTCCGAGGGAGGTTTTGTTTAGATGTTTGGAGGCTAGAGGTGTACATGTTGCCTATGTTAGGTTGATTACGGACATGTATGATGGGCTAAAGACCCGAGTGAAGGCGGTGATTGGGGACTCAGACCATTTTCCTGTTATGATGGGGTTGCATCATGGGTCGGCACTCAACCCTTTTTTGTTTGCTCTGGTGATGGACGTACTGACGCGCCACATCCACGGGGAGGTGCCGTGGTGCATGCTATTTGCAGATGACATTTGATAGAATATGTGAGTCCACCAAACTATATAGAGACCAGGTCCTCTATAAGTTTCCACTGATAGCGCTAATGAAACAGTAAGTAAATGGAACAGGGAGTTTTTACGTGGAAAAATCCCTGCTCAAGAGGATAAAAAATCACGACCTACACTGGTAGGATTTCAACTTCACTATGAGCAACTTTAGATTACAACCTATGCAATCTAGGAATTAAACTCTTAATCCCTCACTAACTTGTAATACACCTATTACAAGCCACTTTGCAATACACCTATTACAAAGACTTCAACTCATGACTAACTCTAGTCACGACACAAACACTGAAGGTTTATGGTTTACAAGGGGTTCCTAAGTAAAGCTTCTAGATATGCAAAGTAGGAATTATAATGAAGAACTAATACAAAGTTACAACTCAACTAAGGACATAGAAGATACTTGTTGTAGGAACTGGTCCATAGTAGTGTTGTACTTTGTTCTTGATTGCACTTGAGAATTGAATGCTCAACTGAAGAACGGTTGAAGTGCTTGAATGACTTCTCAAGTCTTCAAGTGATGTTTTGTTGTAATTCTCTTTGTTAATACAACTTGGATGACATCACTTGAACGATGTAATCACTTGGTTGGTCAAAGAGGAGTGACTGCAGTACTGTGCCGCACTGTTTGCGTGTACAGTGCAGGCAGTTACTTTCCAGCTGTAGACAGCTGACTTCGTACTACTATCAGGGAATCAACACAAGGGGATCAGGTTCCTGTGTTGATTCTTTTATCTTCTGAAGTCATAGCAACTCACATTAGCTGGAGTCCGTTGATTTGAGTTGTGTACCAAGTGTGTTAGGTTCCTTATCTGGTTCTTTGACAGTAAGTTTCTTAGATCATCAAAACGTAAAGCTAAGGTACTGTAAACCCATCAATTTCCCCCCTTTTGATGATGACAAACTTAGAAATTGATAACAGATGTTTAGAGCAAAATAAACCAGATGAAGTAGCAGGAACTTCGCCAGTTCCCCTAACTTTATGCTTCCCCCTTAATCAGATCCCTGTTTCAATTATACTTTCCCCTTTTGGCATCATTAAAAATACACAATCAAGCAAGAAGCATAAAGAAGTCTAGCCTAGCTAACTCATGCCACATATGTGCAAACAACATGATAGAAAAGAGAAGCAGAGAAACATGCGCATTAAACATCAAAAGAGGATAGTTTTTATAAAACATAAGCCTTTGCCATTACAGCAAAGGTAAATTTGGAATGTTATCATCAGGAGCGGTACAAGGAAATTCCATCCACACCACAAAAATAAAAAGAAAAACAACTGCCATAAAGTCATAAAAAATAAAAGAGATAATCCAGAAACTGGTCACTGAAGGGTTAGCCTAGGGGACACTAGAAGGAGATGGCTTAGAAGCTGCAACAAGGGTGTTGAGAACAAGATCAATTTGGGCATTGGCCGACATTTGCTCTGCGAGTAGTTTCTCCTTCAGGTTCTCCACTTGTGCCTGAGATCACATTTTCTTTGGTCAGACGAGCGATCTCTTCATTTGACCCTGGTGCCCCTTGAGCCTGCTGATTCTCCAGAATGGCATTCCTTGCCTTCAACTTCTTGATCTCCTTAGTAGCACTATTCTGGGCATTGATAAGCTGAGAGATTGTTGAAGTGCTTCCTACCCCTCCACCTTTTTCAACACATTCACATTCCTCCAAAGTAGTTTGAGAGAAGGTCTGCTTCTTGGTCCCTATCTTGGGCTGTCCCAAAGGCACATCAAAGAACTT